GGGCATGTTGCAGAGGTGAGGGGGGATATAGACAGACTAGGGGGTGAGCAGAAATGGGTGCATGATGTAAAATTCCCCAAGAATCAATAAAGAATTATGTTTAAAAAAAAAGAGAGAGTCTAATTCTCTTCCACATTTTTGTGCACATAACATGCTGTAGTGTTTGGTGTAAGAAACAGATTCTGAATCTCTCTCCTGCCTTTTGGATTCTATGAGAGAGGGTAAGACAAATCTGCCACTTTCCCAAAACTTTAGCTAACAGGGATCAAGGGAAGGAATCAGGCCTGTCTTCCACCTCTACTCCCAGTTCCAAGTCTGTAAACCAGCATGATAATGATGACTATTAATCTCAACCTGGACTCTTGGTCATTCAGGAGATCAACAGATGTTGAAGAATGCATATAATATACTCTAGAACTCATGCTTAGAAAAATTGGTTTCAGAAGCTGGGAAGTGGTGGCGCACACACGCCTTGATTCCAACACTAAGGAGGCAGAGGCAGGTGGGTCTCTGAGTTCGAGGCCAGCCTGGTCTACAGAGCGAGTGCCAGAACAGGCTCCAAAGCTACACAGAGAAACCCTGTCTCAAAAACAAACAAACAAAACAAAACAAAACCTAAAACCAAAACAGTTAAACAATAGAATAGAGAGCTAGCTCAGTGGGTAAAATGGCTGCCACACACACTGAGGACCTGAGTTCAAGTCCCAGAAAGTCAGGGGTCACTCACACACACCCTGTTATAATCCCAACACTGGGGACACAGAGATAGGGAGATTTTTGGATTCCTGGCTAGCCAGCCTAGTCTACTTGGCAAGCCCCAGGCCAGTGAGAAATCTTATCTCAAAAAGCAAGGTTGAAGGTTCCTGAAGAACTCTACATTGTCCTCCTGCCTCCACGCATGTGTACACATATACTCAACATTAAATTCTTGAAAAGGATTTTATTTGTGTGTGTGTGTGTATGTGTGTGTGTGTGTGTGTACACGCGCGTGCGTGCGCGCGAGTTTGCGCATGTGAAGTATGAGTGCTGGGACCCTAACTGGGGTCCTGTTAGAGATCAGGAAGTGCTCATAACTCCAGTCTGCAGGTGATTAAGGTTCGGCTCAGCACGTTGCCTCGCTCCCCATTGCCTATCTCTTCCTTCTTTGCTTTCCTATAAAGGCCTTAGCGCTTCTAGGTTCCCTATAGTGAACCTTAAAGGGTGGCAACTTCTTGGTTCACTGCTTTTCCAAATGAATGTTTCTCCTTCCTCAGCAACCTGTCCCATTCACTGGTGTCAAATGAAAGAATTCAGTAGCTCAGGCTGCTGGCTACTCTGGAGGCTAAGGCGGGAGAATTTTAAGTTCAATGCGTATCTGAATTACAGACTGAGGTCAAGGGTACCCTGGACAACTAAGTAAAGCCCTTTCTCAAGATAAAAATGTAAAAGGGCTGGGAATATAGCTCAGTGGAAGAGTGTTTTCCCCATGTACATAGGTCATTTTGCCCCATATACATAAGGCTATTTTGCCCCAAGTACATAAGGCCACAGGTTCAATACCTAATAAGGAGAAACAAATACACTAAGGCTGATTCAGCGCCACCTGTCTACAAAGAAAACAGTTCCTGGTAGCAAAGGCAGTTGTCTATGAAGACCTTGTACTCTCCTTACTGTAAGAACTGAAGATTGAAGGGGGGTCAAGGTCATGACAGGGGAACCCACAGAGACATCTGACCTGAGTTCATGAGAGCTCACTGACTCTTAACTAACAACTAGGAGCCTGCATGGGACCGGCCTAGGCCCTCTGCATGTATGTGACAGATTGGCTTGTTTGTGGGGCTCCTAGCAGTAGGATCAGGTTTTTGGGAACCCAATCCCCAAGCTTGGTTGCCCTTGTCCAACCTCGATGCAGGGGGAGGAGCTTGATCCTGTCTCAGCTTGATGTGCCATGCTGTGTTGACTCCCATAGGAGGCCTACCCCTTCTTGAATGGAGTAGATAAAATGGGTGGGAGATGGGGGTAGAAGGGAGGTGGGGGGAGGGAACATGTGGAAAGGAGGGGGAGGAACTGTGTAAAATAAATGAAAAAAATTAAGAAAAAAAAAAGAACTGAAAATTGAATCTTTAATTTGGCTACTGTCCTACCTATTGTGAGTATTCCTCTGCACCCTACCCCAATCTGACCCCTCCATTCCTACATGCTAGAAGACGGGACAAAGACTGGGATACCCAACCATTCCATTGATTGTGCTGTATTGTCCATGCCTAGAGAGGTACCTGGTACACTGTGTTCAGTAAGCACTGACTGAATATGCAGATGTGAGCAGTCTTTGAGAGCTCTTGCTTCTAGGCACAGGCAGAGTTTGAGGCCTTGCTTGTATTCCTTCAGCACAGGGATTCTGTGAATCTGCACGTTGAGAACCCCATAAGCACCAGTCACTCTGAGCCAGCAGCTGCTTTGCAGAGAGGGACAAATGATGCTAACCAGGAAGATGGAGAGGGGGACGGGGAGGGGGCTGGGTGAGCCGCAAAAGCATCTCAGAAGAGAAAGGAAGCTACTGCTAATGGGGTGTGACAGCACAGGGGGTGTGAATGGATCCTGGTGACAGTAAGCCAGAACAAAGGGGGCAGTGATGCAGAGTGCAAGAGAACAGTGCTGGATTCAACCAAAGGAGCCACCAAAGCAGCATGGTGGTGGTCTTGGGGGGGGGGGGGCTGGCTTGTCAAGGGGCCAGAATCGAAATCTGAAAACAAAGGGCTTCCAAGTGAAATTGCTGGGTGTGCTGACATTTAGGGGCTAGAGTCAGAGGCAGAGACAAAGAGAACTGTACCTCCTTATTTTTAACAAAGGAGCCCTGGGGGAGATTCTACACTTCTGAATCACATGTTTACTGGGACTGGGGAGCAGAGGAAGAACTTTGACTGCTGAGCCTTCAGTGTCCTTGCAGATGACAGATGGTACCTTGTCATCCCCATTGGACATAACTGCCTCATATCCCACAGTCACCCTCTCACCTGAATCCCTGCCTCAGTCTGCTCAGTGGCCACACCAAATATTTCCTTTTTCTGTTAAAAAGCATATTTGGGGGTGGGGAGAAGGAGGTTTAGCTCCATGGATGAATGCTTGTGCAAGCTCCATGGCTGGATCTTCAATGTGGCAAAAGAACAAACAACATATATCCCTTTTGTCATTGGGATTGGAGAAATTATATTTTTCTGAAACAATTCTTCAACATTTCTACTTAAATTTATTTTTAGGGGACAGTGGAGATGGCTCAGCAGGTAAGGGCACTGATTTCTGTGCAAGCATGAAGATCTGAGTCAGAGCGCCAGAACCTTGGCTTGTAAGCCCAGGGTTAGGGAATGCTGGACAGAGACGGTGCAGGGGGAGGATTGCAGTGTCTCCCGTCAGTTAAAAGGAGGCAAGCTTCAGTGAGAGACCCTGTCTCAAGGGAATAAGGTTGAGAATGATAGAGAAGGGCATTCAACATCCTCCTCTGGCTTCCACAGAAACACACACACTTGTACACAGGTGAATACACCACACACAATATCCTTGATTTGTGTTGGTTAGGATCTATCAGCAACCAACTTGGAAAGAGAAGTGCCCCTAAAGAGAAGAGAGGCCAGAGAAGGGCAGGGAGGTGGAGGGAGTGAGGTTCTCCCAGAACTGCAGTCTTGCTGGTCACAGAGACACAAAGAGAGAAGTCCAACTCTAATCTTAATTCTTTTTGTGAGTTTTAAGTAGTGGCTCCAATCCCTACCTCCCAAAATACACACAAATGGCGTTTATTGGCTTATTACCTGGAAAGGGAGAACGAGACACCCTGTTCTTAGGAATGCCATTGTTCCTGGAGGAAGACCAATGACCTAACATAGTCCCTACATCTGCCAAGTTCACAAGGCACAAATAAGAAGAGAGCAGACAGGGCTACGGGGTTAAAAGTGCTTGCTGTTAAGCTTGATGATATGAGTTCAGTTCCTGGGACTCATATGCAAGGAGAGAATTGATTCCTGCAATTTTTGTCTTCTGACAGGTGGCACTCAGTACACACACACACACACACACACACACACACACACACACAAACACACAGGCACACACTAAATTAATAAATGTAATTTTAATATTTTAAAGAACAAACAGAAGAGTCGGGTATGGTGTCACATGCCTTTAAATTCCAGCACTCAAGAGGCAGAGGCAGGTAGGTCTCTGAGTTCCAGGTCAACCTAGTCTACCTAGTTCCAAGACAGCCAGGGCTATGTCTCAAAAGAATAGAAAAGAACAGCAATAATGGATTAATTAAAAATAAGCAGAATGTGAGTAATAAATTGTTCCTTGGAAGCAACTCAGAGCAGAGAAGTTTCTTCCTGAAGCAATGAACTAGAAGGCAGGTTATCAAACATAAACCCAGAGATGGATCTTGCAAGAAGCACGAAACGATTCATCTTTTTTGCCTCCATGTAGCCCAGATGAAACGGATCAAATCTCAAACCTAGGGAAGGGTGCTTCCTTCTTTCATTTTTGGGTGGGGCACAGAGAAAGAGGTGAGAGTGTGCCTACATTTATTTTTTAATCATTTATTATTTAGGCTCTGAACAACTGCAACTGTATGTCCTCTCCTGACCCTCACCCTCCCTTGGGCTTCCTCCCTGAAGACCTAGATGTCTGCCTCCCCTTCAGCTAACCTGAGCCTTTCCCACTTCCTAGCCACCCACACACAACAGCTAGAGCCCAGACAGCTGGACGTCTGCTGTAGAGGGCACAGCGAGGGCCCAGACCTGCAGCCTTTCTCTACACAGATGCCCTGGAGATTTAATTTTAATTAACGGTGGGAGCTATGGCCCCAGGATTGGATTTTCAGAACAGAGAATTTCCTTCCCATTTCTTTTCTTTCTCGCTCTCTCTTTTCATTCCCCTCTCTATTTTCCCAATGTCATCGAAATTTAAAGATAAATATGAAAAATCGAACGAAGAGTCTCACCCACAAAGAGCACTGGGACCCAGGAGGGAGGCGGAGGATGCAGAGGGTTGCAGGCGGCCGCCAGGAGCGGTCCAGCTCTGGGAGGATGCCTAGTGCGTCGCGAAGGCGGGGCCTGGGCGGGACTACGCGGACGGGGGCGTGGTCTGTTCAATCACGTGGGCAAGGACCGCTGGTACTATGCTCTGCAGAGCCCAAAGTCTGTCTGTCCAGATCGCGGGGACAGACGCTCTACAGCAATGGACTTTAGGACAAAGGGTCAGAGCTGCCTAGCGACTGGGTTGCTGAAGAACCAGGTGGCCGTGGTTACCGGCGGGGCTACGGGCATCGGAAAAGCCATCTCCCGGGAGCTCCTGCACCTGGGTACGTGATCAGGTCTCTGGAGCTGGACACCCAGAGCTAGGGTCTGCAGAGGTCTAGCTAGGGTAAACTAGGTTCAGAGCGCTGGTGGAGCAGAGGAAAGGTTAAACTAAGAGTTGCAGAGCTTGAGCTGTGCGAGGGACGAAAAACAGGTGTTCTTCCCAATAGCGGAGAAATGTTGATAGGTGAGCCACGAAGTATGAAAAAGGGGACTTAGACCCAAAGATTACTGCGCCGGAAGTAGGAAATAACCAGACCGGTGAAAACATGCTGTGGAATTAATTGTGTCTTTGTAACGTTAATCCGTTCGAAATGGTTCCTAATTCCAGATGAGGCATCATTTAGCAAAAGGTTGTCAACCTGTTGAGAGGCTCTGATTGTTGCATCTTCTCACAAGCCCTGTCGTAAACAAAGCAAGAGAAAAGAAAAGTGAGCATTTAACTTAGAAGAAGGAAAGATCACGTAAACAAACACACCATGAAGAAAGCCACCAAGAAGAAAATAGTTGTATTTAGATATATGAGGATGTACACCCTCTTTGAGTTTAAGATTGCAAAGTTTAGCCAGGCAGTGGTGGCACATGGCTTTAATTCCAGCACTCAAAAAGTAGAGGCCGGTGGAACTTTGTGAATTCAAGGCCAGCCTGGTCTACAGAGCGAGTTCCATCCAGGACAAGAGAAACCAGTCTCGGAGGAAAGGAAAAGAGAGAGAGAGAGGGAGAGAGAGAGAGAGAGAGAGAGAGAGAGAGAGAGAGAGAAAGGTGCAAAGTTTAAAGGCATATGATTTGTAACATGACACTTTTATTATGTGAAGAGCTTTGACAAGTAGATTTTTAAAAATCTGACATAATGAGGGGAAAATGAACCAATGATATGGCACAAGGATTCCAAGCTGAGCTAAACACAGGAAATAAATATGTGAATAACCAATCAACTTTATCTTATCTTGCAAAAGAAAACAAGACACCATTGTATTTTTCATTTTACCATTTTTTCCAGTCTGTCTGCCACCATGAATTCGTAAGAAAGTCAATCAGTAACCATTTGGTGCAGAGGTCAAAACCTTGGCCTGAATCAGCAGATTCATAGGATCTTAGTTCACCTTCCATAACCTTCCATGAATTTCTAGGTACTGAATATCTCTTTGAGTAAATTTGCATTTGGCAAACACTACACAAGTTCTGGGGTCAGGCAAGAGACTATTCTTCAGTCAGTCATGTGCTCGGGCGAAGCTATGAAAATGGTGGAGTATGCCCCTAGGAAACTACTTTATACCTAAAAGAGGCATAAGCATTGTGTTGTTATATTATAATTGAATTATCTTCCATGAGAAAATATGAAAAATTTTTACACATTTGGTGTACTTTTAATTATGCATACGTGTTGGGAGCTGGAGGAGCTGGAGGAGGCACCCAAGAAGGCCAGAAGTGGTAGATCCCCTGGAATTAGAGTTACCCGTGGTTGTGAGCTACCCAGTATGCATGGTGGGAAATGGACTCCGGTCCTCTGTAGAGCAGTATGTGCTCTTTCAAGTTCTGAGCCATTTCTCCAGCCCCAAGTATATGAAATACTTTCTACTGTGGCTTTTTCATCTTTTTTTTAATGCTAGGATTAATGGCTGTTTCCTGAAAGTTATTATAAAAACCCAGAATTGGACAATAGAATATTATAAAACATTAGCTGGGAGTTGACAAGTTGGCTCAGTGGGTAAAGGTGCCTGCTGCCAAGCCTGGCCACCTAGATTCAATCCTCAGGGCAGGAATGGTAGAAGGAGGGTACTGAAGTCCTCATGTTGCCCTCTGATCTCTACACCATAACATGCATGCCCACAAAAATAAATAAAGTGTTAGCTATTAAACATGTCATAGACTGCCTTCCTGTGGTATATAGAAAATAAAAACGACTTAACCACTGTTACAGGTAGTCTTGGAGCTGCATAGCATCAGAGGGAACTAGCAATGACTTTGAGCTAATCCCATTCAAAACAAACTGCCCATCAGTGAGGAAAATTACAAATGCTTCCTTACTATTTTTTTTTAAATATTAGAAACTCTTTTGCTTCTAGTTACAGATGTGTAAGAAAATGGGGGGGGGGGGGAGACAGTAATAAAACTACACCAGGGCAGTGTTAGTGGAAAGGGGTTGGTCAAAAGGTCAAAAGTTTTATCTGGGAAGAGGGGTGAATGTGCTCAAAATACACTATGTGAAATCCTCAGTTCAGTTAATAAAAACATGAGTTGAAAGGGTACAAAGTTTCAGCTAAACGGGGAGAATAAAGTCTGTCAGCCTATTGTGCATCATGGTGACTACAATTAATAACATATTGTGTGGAGCTTGGTGAGATGGCTCAGTGGGTAAAGAAGGCATTTGCTGCCAAGAGTAAGAACAAGAATTCAGTTCCCAGGACCTACATGGTGGAGGATAGAACAGATCCCTGCAAGTTGTTCTTTGACTTTTACATGTGCTCTGGCACTGAGCACGAGCGCTCACGCTCGCACACCACACACACACACACACACACACACACACAATGAATGAATGAATGTAATAAAAATAAAGTAATATGTTTTTTGTTTCAAAATTGCTAAAAAAGACTTTTTTTCTGGGTTTGGGGTTTTAGAGAGTTTTGTTGTTTGTTTGTTTGTTTGTTTGTTTATTCAGTGCTGAGAAGTGCACCCAGAGCTTTGTGTACATTCAGCAAGTTCTTTTACCAAGACACATTCCCAGACACCTCTCTCTTTCTCTCTTCCCCCTCTCTCTCTCCCTTCTCTCTCTCTCTCTCTCTCTCTCTCTCTCTCTCTCTGTTTGGTTTTTCAAGACAGGATTTTTCTGTGTAGCTTTGGAGCCTGTCCTGGCACCAGACCTCTCTTTTTAAGTTTGGCCTTGAACTCATTCTGCACCCAGGCAGCCTTTGAACTTGCAATCCTCCTGCCTCAGCCTCTGAGTAGCTGGGATTACAGGACTGGTTTAAGAATAGACTTTTACATATCCTTAACACAAAGAAATGGTAAGTATGGAAGGAGATATGTTAATTAGTCTGATTTGATCATTGTATACTATATAAAGATACCAAAACATCAAAAATGTACTCAGTAAGTTACGATTATTAGGGCTGGAGAGATGGCTCAGTGGTGAAGAACACTAGCTGGCTCTTCCAGAGGTCTGAATTCAATTCCCAGCAACCACATGAGGGCTCACAACCATCTGTAGAGATCTGGTGCCCTCTTCTGGCCTGCAGGGATACATGCAGACAGAATACTTTATATATAATAGATAAATAAGTCTTTTTTTAAAATATACAGTTATTTGTCAATTAAATGTAAAATAAGACCAGATGTAGTTGACTCCATTTAATTTCAGCACTCTAGAGAAGAGGCAGTGGATATCTGTGAGGTTCAGACCAGCCCAGGCTAAATAGTGAGACCCTGTCTCAAAAGGAAAAAAGAAAAAAAGCAGTGGTCCCAAGAATTCCTTTAGTGTGAAGCTGGTTGGTTGTCACTTCTTCTTAAACATCTTCAACTTGGAGTGTAACCATTTTCCCTGTTTATACTGGCAAGTTTGCTTTCACTAGTGTCTTCTGGCTACATGTCTTCAGTGTCTCAAAGGTATTAGCACGTCTGTATCTGCTAATCTCCCTTGGCTTTCTGTTCTAATATCACTTCCATTGTTACCAGTTGCCACCTCTTTGTTTTGCTTTCATCACATTGGCCAACCTCGTTTGATCACATGTCACATAGTTTATCGTTGGAAGATGAAGAAATGGCACAGCTACATTCTGTACTGGGTTTGAGCTGAAAAACAGATGGGCAGGAATCAATTACTGAAAGAGAGACAACTAGCTGGCTCGCTTCGGCAGCACATATACTAAAATACAGAAAGACAACTAGTCATCTCTAGAGCCATGCCATCCTGAATATGCCTGATCTTGGAAGCTAAGCAAGGGTCTGTCTGGCCCAGCTAGTACTTGGACAGGAGAAAAGACTAGTCACTAATCATCATGCAAGTAGGGTAGGGGTCATTATACATATGTTTTTTTTCAAGACAAGATTTCTCTGTGTAGCCCTGGCTGTCCTGGAACTCACTCAGTTAAGACGAGGCTGGCCTCGAACTCAGAGATCTGCCAGCCTCTGCCTTCCAGAGTGTTCGGATTAAGGTGTGAGCCACCACTGCCCAGCTGATTTCTACATTTATATCTAAATCACCCAATGCATTATTAATTCTTGTCCTTGAAATGATACTTTTTTTTTCTTTCATTTATTTATTTATTTATTTATTTTTGGTTTTTCAAGACAGGGTTTCTCTGTGTAGCTTTGGAGACCAGGCTGGCAGAGAACCGACTGCTTCTGCCTCCCAAGTGCTGGGATTAAAGGCATACACCACCAACGCCCAGCTCAAATGATCCTCTTATAAGTCAATCTGAATTATAGTGTATATTCACAAAATTGTCATTTCCAGTTCTGATTGATTTAGTCTATGATAAGTATATATGGATATGTGACGAATTTTAGTCATTTCTAATCCCAATTGTACTCTCTCTCTCCTTCTGAAAGCCTTGTCTTTGGAACAAGTTTACCTCCTACTGATAAAATGTGGATGGGCCCAGTTTTATGCAAGCATGTGTAAGGCAACCTAAGCCACAGTGAGTTCCTGATTGCCACTGTGATATGTCCCGTCCTAGACTTAGGTCTTCTGATGCCATTTTTCTTCCTCTTGAAGGACTTCTTTGGATTGATTGTTTGATTTTTTTTCCAGTATGGGTGGGCTCTGATGAAGTCTTCCCATTTGGTGTGTGTGGCTTTTGCTATTGAGCTCGAAAGGATGACTGTGTTTGTAGTTATTTGTATTTTTTGTTACTTTAGCACCTTGTGTTTTTCCACTGTCTTCTGCCTTGCTCTGTTCTGAAAGAAGTTCTCAGCTTCTGTTCTTGCTGTTGCTCTGGGTGTCATGTGCTGTTTTTCTCTAACTGCTTGGAAGATTTCTCTCTTCATCAGTAGTATTTTTTTTTAAAGGTTTATTTATTTATTATGTATACAGTATTCTGTCTGCGTGTATTCCTGCAGGCCAGAAGAGGGCACCAGATCTCATTACAGATGGTTGTGAGCCACCATGTGGTTGCTAGAAATTGAATTCAGGACCTCTGGAAGACCAGATAGTATTCTTTACCACTAAGTCATCTCTCCAACCCCTCAGTAGTATTTTTCTAGATTTATTTTTATTTTTTACTGTGTGTGTGTGTGTGTGTGTGTGTGTGTGTGTGTGTGTGTGTGTGTGTGTGTGTGTGTGAAAAGGGCATCATATCCCCTGGAGCTAAAGTTGCAGGTGGTTATGAACCACCCAACATGGGTGTTCGGAACTGAACTTGAGTCCTTTAAAAGATGCACAAGTACTCTTAACCCTTGAGCTCCCTCTCTCTAACCCCATCAGTAGTTTATTTAGGCATATCATCAGTGTCACTCCTGGAGTGGTTCCTATTAGTTGACATCTCTCATTATGGGTTGTTATTTTCTTTCTCCTTTGAGGATCTGGGATTGTTTTTGATGGATGCTGACTGATTTGAGCCTTGTTGCTGCTGGCTATTTTTATAGCCTTATAAATATTTTTGAGCTCTCCTTCCCCACCTCTACCCACCACTGGGATGCAGCTCATTAGAATTGTTTGATACATTCAAAGTATTTTAAAATTAAGAGTTGGTCCTGGCAGCCTTTCATCTCTGGCTAATGTTGCTTCTCTGCCAAAGCTATGCCTCTTACCCAGTGAAAGATATTTTGATGGTCAGCAAAAAAATCCTTCCCTGGGGTTCCTTCCCTTGGTTCTCATTTTTTAAAGAGCCCTTTCCCCAGCCTGTTCCTGCCCTCCCATGCACTCATCTGTACTGACCTGCATTTACCTGGAGGAGATTCAACAAGAACTGTAAAACTCTCACTTCTCATCTCCCTATAACTCGTGTGGCCAGCTGTCTAGCTTCCTTGGAATCCCAGCTTTACCTCTCCCATTTCTAGAAACTCCTGGGCTGAGAATAAATCTATTTTATGCTGTAGTCTGGAAATTCTCTCCAGGTGGTAATGATACATACAGTCTGGGGATCTTGATTGAGTTAGTTCTCTCTGTCAATTAAGAGAATTTTTAAGGGCATGAAAAAACCTTGAGCGCAGCTGATAGCAGCAGAGACATCTCACACACCATAGACATGCAGCAAATACAGAGAAAACAACTTGGCAGAGCAGAGCAGGGACTCAGGAAGCTGAAAATTCCAGTCTTCTCATAAGGGCTAGGTATTTTTAAGTCTCTGAAGAGTTTTCCTCCTGTAAGTTAGAGTTGGTCAGTCTGAAAAAGCATGGGATGGTTGATTGGCCCACAACTGTTGAGGAATATGTCCTGATCCTGCTGTGAGCCTGTTAACCCAATCTATCAGTGGGGGCCTGCTGGCAGGAGAAAAGGCCCACGAGGCCTTTGTTTTAATCTTCCAGGCTTTTGTCTCAAGTCAGGAAGAAGCCTGCTAAAGTTCACCACCTTTATTGCTGAGCCATGGCCCTTTCCCTGTCTGTCTGCCTACCAGGGAGTCTATCGAACTCCTACTCTTACAGTAATATGGTTTATTCTTAAGTCTCTCTTACACTTGTTCTCTCTCTCTCTCTCTCTCTCTCTCTCTCTCTCTCTCTCTCAAGTGGCTGTTCAATTTTAGCTCCATGATACTTGATATTTCAAAGCAATTGTTTCCTCTGTGTGTGTGTGTGTGTGTGTGTGTGTGTGTGTGTGTGTGTGTGTGTGTGTGTTGTCTAGCTTCTTAGGCTTTCAGGCTATAGGGTAAATTCAGTTCCTACTGTTCCATCTTATCCAAACCCATCCTAATTCCTCTTCCACCTGTCATCTTTTACAGGAATATAAAAAATAGATTCTATAATTTGGACAGCTCCCCCAGGCTGGGTCTCTCTGTGTAGCACTGGATGTGCTGGAACTCACTCTGTAGACCAGGCTAGCCTCGAACTCACAGAGATCCACCTTCCTCTGCCTCTCAAGTACTGGATTAAAGGCATGGACCCTGAACAACTTTTTATGCATAAGTGTGTTTTGCCTATATATCTGTTTATCATGTATGTGTGGAGACCAGAAATGGGGAGTCAGATCCCCTGGAACTAGAGTCAGTTATGAACTGCCATGTGCATGCTGGGAATTGAACCTGGATCTTCTAGAAGAGCAGTCAATGCTCTTAACCACTGAGCTATATCTCTCTAGTCCCTTCATTTGGACAGCTCTTGGAAGCTTATTCCCTTCCTCTCTGGCTATTTTCTCCTTAGGATGTAATGTGGTCATTGCTTCCCGGAATCTGGACAGATTAAACTCTGCTGCAGAGGAACTAAGAACATCCCTGCCTCCCTCCAGCCGAGCTCAAGTCACTGCCATAAGATGCAACATCAGGAAAGAAGAAGAGGTAATATAAATAGGACTACACAGCGTATTTACTCATTGCTCTTCCTAACCCCACCCAGCTGTACTTAAAGGTGATGTGGATCGCTAGAAGGCAGAGCTGTAAGTAGATCTGTGTGCTCATGACTTACTGAGCTGATGACCTCAGAAGGAGGGGTGGTGAAGCAAGAAAGGGGAGCTAGCCGGGCGTTGGTGGTGCACGCCTTTAATCCCAGCACTTGGGAGACAGAGGCAGGGGGGTCTCTGTGAGTTCGAGGCCAGCCGGGTCTACAAGAGCGAGTGCCAGGATAGGCTCCAAAGCTACAGAGAAAAACCCTGCCCCGAAAAAACAAAAAAAAAAAACCCTCGCAAAAAAAAAAAAAAAAAAAAAAAAAAAAGGGTGGGGTGGGGTGCTACAAGAATGGTTCTGGAATTAGACCCTTAAAGGCATTTCTTTTTTTTTCTGATTTCATCACTATTATTTAAGGTTGGTACTTAGAAATTAATACTACTGAGGCTTGTGTGTAGAAGTATTTTGATGACTCTTTGGTGTATCTTGCTAGCAAAGTTAGAATATTGGCCTGTGATATGTGAGTATTGTACAGTGGTCAGTTCACACTGTGGGATTTGTGGGTTTATTTACTGATGACTTTCTGTGTTAGGGTTGTGGTATTTAACATGCATTGTAAGAGTCTACAAACTGCTTTATATCTTAAAGAAAGTGACTGGGCCACATAGCAGGTTAGCTATTAAACTTGTACTTCCAATGTTTCTTTAGGTGAATAATTTGGTCAGCGCCACCTTAGCTAAGTATGGTAAAATCAACTTCTTGGTAAACAACGGAGGAGGCCAGTTCCTGTCTCCTATTGAAGACATCAGTGCAAAGGGATGGCAAGCTGTGATCGAAACGAACCTGACAGGCACTTTCTACTTGTGTAAAGCAGGCGAGTGTCTCAATAGCCACAAGACAAAGCAACAACAAAAAAACAAACAAACAAACAAACAAAAAACCATGTCTCTAGTGAGAAATCACAGGGAATGCTGGAAGAGGCGCTGTTAGGGACATAGAAGACTAGTGTCAGTGACATTTGACCTATGTTTACATTGATCTGATACCTTATCAAAATTCATATCTTTCATTTGTGGTCGTTGTCTCTTTAGAATTTGTGTTTATTTTAGTAATGTGTATGTATGGCTGAGTGTATGCATGTGCACTGTGGGTGCACAGCTGCCTGAAGAGGCCAGGAAAGGCATCGGATTCCCTGCACCTAGACTTGGAGATTGTAATGAGTCACACAGTGTGGGTGCTGGGAACAGAGACTGGATCCTCTGCAAGATCAGCCAGTGCTTACCCACTGAGACATCTTTCCAGCCCGTGCCTCCTTAGTGTGATCTGAATCTTTTCCCTTGTTTTTTAATTTTCTAAAAAAAAAATAATGTTATTTCTTTAAAAGCTTAATGTTGTACTGCCTAACATTAACTTAAAAATGACCCCAAATTCAAGATTGCTCTTGTTTTGGTGATTATTAAACTTATTTTTAAAAACAATTTTTTTTGGGGGGGGCAGGCAGTGTTGATGCAAGCCTTTAATCCCAGCACTTAGGAGGCAGAGGCAGGATGATCTCTGTGTGTTTCAGGCCAGCCTGGTCTACAGGGTGAGTTCCAAGATAGTCAAGGCTACACAGTCAAACTTGTCTTGAAAAAAAAAATTGAGGGGGGATAGCCTCACTTTGGGGAATGTATACTTCCTACCACATTATACGTTATACATGGAGTGCTACACTGAAGGCTTTATTATTCTTGATTCTCACTAAATTTCATCACTTATTTAAGAGTCTGTGATATATAAGATAATTTCCAAAATGAAACCAAACAAAAGACAATCCTTTAAAAAATATCACATGTACAGCTGGATGACAGTGGCGCACACCTTTAGTACCAGTGCTCCAGAGGCAGAGGCAGGCAGATCTCTGTGAGTTCCAGGCCAGCCTAGTCTACAGAGTGAGTTCTAGGACAGCCAGGGCTACACAGAGAAACCCTATCTCTAAAAAACAAAACAACAACAACAAATC